CTGTTCTAGAGTGTAGTGATAGATAGCACAGTACACTGATCTGTGACACACGCGAAAATAAAGTGATTAGATAACTTTAGAACGACACAACCTGATGACTACTACGCATTTTTTTACTTATAGTGTAGTGTATTGTTTAATCAAGTGAGTTCTGTTTTTGTCTATTTTTCTTTTTCTACTGTTTTGCTACTTGTGAGATACTGCCATTTTTTTAGGAGTGGATTTTAAAATGGGCACAATTAATATTAACAGAGCTAAAAATGTAAAATACAAATTTGGTATGTGAATTGGTAGTGTAAACCTTAACGATCTATCCTTCAATATTTCTTTTTTCAATAGGAACACGGCTGGATAGGAACGATTTCGAGTAATTACGTGTATTTATTATAGAGGAGCCGATGGTGTAATTATTATTTACGATGTAAGAGTCTTCAATATTTTAAATCAGATTTTTTTGTTTATTGTTGGATTTGGTACCAGTATGATTTTATCTATCTGATTCTTCTCAAGGTTACAAATGGTGAAGCATTTGCAAATTTAAAAGATTGGATTACAGAAATGGAACGTCATGTGTCAATGTTCGTAAGTAACCATTTAAATCAATAGTTTATATTTTAGAATATTAGAACAAAATTTATCTCGTTTGCATTCTACAAAACTAGTTTTAAGTTTTAAAATTAATATTCTGTATATTTTGTTCTTCTATTGTTTGTTTAAAGCTAAAATTCTTCTTGGTAACAAAGATGATTTGGACTTTGAAATGACAAAAGTTGTTTTAACATCGGATGCCAGTCAATATGCACAACAAAAAAATTTACCTTTTCTTGAAACAAGCGCACGAGATAATAAAAATGTTGAAAACGTATTTCAAATAACAAAATTAGCACTGAAACGTCGATTAACAATGCAAAAATAACAGCCACGGACAATTTTAACAGTCGGTCGTATAATAGATAATAAAAAATGTTGTTCATGATGATGAAAAAATAAAATAGTTCTTGTTTCAGTTCGTTAAGTGCAATAATTTTACCTTAGAACGTGCTTTTTGTAATTAGTTTGGTGAAAAGTTATAGTCAACGGTAAGCAGCAACTAACCACTAATATAAACGAAATATAAATTAAGCCGTCAAAAACTATAGAATGGAACTTGCATTTCAGGGCTGAGGTGTTAAATTTTATAGGACGAGAAAAACATATAAACATATTGATTCAAGTGGTCTGTACTCAAAGAGTATTATAGCCTTGGTACTTTGCACAATAAAGCTTTTACAAAAAATGTGGAATTTTTGGAAAAAATATAGAAATACTTCAAATGTTTCATCAAAACTTGTATAGTGTGGGCTGGTGGAATTAATTATATAATTAGATATAAAAATTATTTGAAATTCGTGACTGTTAATCGGTGGCAGTCAATTTGCAGTTCGTTATCGTTAATTGGTTATAATTACTCCAGGCGGGATAATTTCGGTTAACATATACTATTAGAACACTTATCACCATCGTAACAACAGAAATAATTCAATCAACTGTATTTCAATAGTGAACTTCTTTTTTCTATTTACCTTTAATGGATTAGCTGAGCTTAATTAAAATCAAAAGAAAGCTTTCTTGATATATTCGATCTGGGGTGATTATAACCACAAAATCGTTTAAGAAGTTGTTAAGCATAAAAGATATTATCTTTATAAGACAAACCATTCAATAATCCATTTGTAAAAGTCGCTGTATATTTTGTTTTTCTCGTTTCTGTTTAAATTTTTCTATTACATAGCATATTACACAGCAATACACTCGTTGCGATGTGCTCTTTCTTATAATATCACAGTGTATTATATATTCCATAATCGGGGTGATTATTAGATTTTAGTTGAAAAATGTGAAAAAGTCAGATCTGTGCAAAAATAAACTCACTCATACCGTTTTATTTAAAACAAATAGTGCTTATTCGAAACAACGTCATCCGATAGTACATTGAAATCTTTCGTTTGGTGCGAGATGTCAATTAATCTTTTCCCACAGATAAACTGTTTTAATTTAGTACCATGTAATTTTAACTGGTGTTCTCACTCCTGGACTTTTTTCAAAACCATCACCAGCTTTTTTTCAGCACTCCTCTGTTTCTGTATGTATACTGGAAAACTGCACTTGAAGTAAATACATTACCTTACTTTCTAGTGCAAGAGAAAAATATTTCGCTTTTACAAACGGGTTATTTAATGGTTTGTGTTGTGAAAATAATATATCATTTTTCAACTGATTGGTGCCTGCCGTTCTTACATATTTTGGAAAAGAAGTAAATGTTTAAGGTGTTTTTAGACTGAGATATAAAGCAAGCAAAAAAGAAAAATGCTTTTGCTCTGTGCGTTATGGCAAATAACAAAATTGTTTAGGACGCTGAACTGTATTATGTACGCAAATAATGGATGAGAAAAATCATCATTGTCAGGATGATTGATCCTGACAATGATCAGGATGATTGATGCTGACAATGATCAGGATGATTGATCCTGACAATGATCAGGATGATTGATCCTGACAATGATTAGGATGATTGATCCTGACAATGATCAAGATGATTTAATCACAGGAAGGGATCGAATTCGGGTAACGAAAAAATCTTTCTTGATCGAAGAAATTTTTAAAGAAAAGTCAGAGCGAAAAAGCTCATGTTTTACGGTCCTTCGCTTTTGTCAACAAGACAAGATATAGAGCATAATTATAGAATTACAAAGAATTTTTTTGCAATTCTTGTGCAAAAAAAATCGCTTAAATGCGACAACAATTCCCAGTATCGGAATTAATTGTATTAAAAAATGTTAAAACTGATTTTCAGGTCGTCGAGGTCGAACATAACTGATATCTAAGAACCTATCGGCTTGTCCAAGCGTGACGCTGTGACAATTTTGACACAGTAATTTGAGCTTTCCTCAAAAAGTGTATAAGCTAACCGTCGTCCTTGCGCCGTTCGACGCAGCTCGCCATACTCTACTTTTGGTATAAAAATGAAGATATGTGGTTAAGGACTCAAACTTTTAGAAGCGTTTTTCGGCGCGTGACGCTGTGACAAAAAAAGGCCCTAAATTCGAAGTGCGTCTCGTTAAAAGCTAATTTGCTACGAATTTAGAAGAGCTAATAA